CTTGAGCCCAGGAGTTTGAGGTTGCTGTGAGCTAGGCTGATGCCACGGCACTCTAACCCGGGCAACACAGTGAGACTCTGTCTCAAAAAAAAAAAAAAAGGTTAGAGTAATCCATATGAAGACAGGAAAAGGAAAACAAATGAAGAGAAAACAAGAAGGTAGACTAAAGCTCTAACATATTTACATTAAAAGTAAATGTCCTAAGTAAACCAATTAAAAGACAGAGATTGATAGAGTAGACAGCGCAACTATATACTGTTTGCAAGAAACATACTTCAAATGTAATGCTAAAGGCAGATTGAAAGTAAAAAGATAGCTGGGCATAGTGGCACACACTTGTAGTCCCAGCCATTCAGGAGGCTGAGGCAGGAGGATCACTTGAGGCCAGGAGTTCAAGGCTAACATTTGCTATGATCACACCTGTGAATAGCCGCTGCACTCCAGCTTGGGCAACATAGTGGTACCCCATCACAAAAAAAGTAAATTTAAAAAAGTAAAAGGATGGAAAAATACATTATGCAAACATTATCAAAGGAAAGAAAGAGTGGGCTATATTAATGTCAGATAAAGTGGACTTGAGAGAAAATTGCCAGAGACGGAAAAGGCTATTACATAATGACAAAAGGGTGCATCTACTGCAAAGACATAACAATCCTGAATGTGTAGGTGCCATACAACAGAGCTGCAAAATATGTGAAGCAGAAACTGATAAACTTGAAGGAGAAATTGACAAATCTACAATTATAGCTGGAAAACTTCAACACTCCTCTGTCAATAATTGGTAGAACAACTAGACAGAAAATCAGCAAGGATATAGAGGAACTCAACACCACCATCAACCGATAGAACCTCATTGATATTTATAGAACACCCAACAACAGCAGAATATACATTCTGTTCAAGTGCCCACAAACCGTATATCGCAAGATGGATCATATTCTGGGCCATAAAACAAGCCTCAACAAATTTAAAATAATTAAAACCATACAGTGTTTTCTCTGACTACAGTGGAATTAAAGTAGAAATCAATAATGGAGTGATAACAGGAAAATCTACGAGTCCTATTGATCACTCTCCCTAAATATATTATTACTTCCTGAATCATTTCATTCATCCTGAATTCCCAGAATCCAGCACAGTGCTTAGCATGTGGGCAGTCCCTATGTGTTTGTATTAGTCAGCGTTCTCCAGGTTATACAGATATATGAGAGGAGATTTATTACGGGAATTGGCTTATGTGATTATGGAGGCTGAGGAGCCCCACAATATGCCATGTGCAAGCTGGAGAACCTGGAAAGCTGACGGTGTAACTCCCAGTCTGAGGCCAGTGGTCTGAGGCTCGGGGTGGGGCAAGTGGAGGAGAGGCTGGTATGGGTCCCACAATCCGAAGGCCTGAGAACCAGGAGCTCCAATGCCCAAGGACAGGAGAAGATGGATGTCCCAACTCAAAAAGAGAATTTGCCCTTCCTCTGCCTTTTCGTTCTATTCAGGCCCTCAACAGATCAGATGATGCCCACCCACTCTGGTAAGGGTGGATCTTTTTTTATCAAGTCCACTGATTCAAATGCTTATCTCTTGCAGAAACATCCTCACAGACACACCCAGAAAAAATGTTTTACCAGCTATCTGGCATTTTTAGCCCAGTCAAGTTGACACTTAAAGTTAACCATCACACTGTTGATGAAGGATAATAACTCCCTTATGAAAAAATAAAAATGGAAGGATAGATATTTCTCAAACCCACCAAATTCCATGCATTCCAGCTGCTGCTCTCCAGTTCACGCCACCATCATCTTGTTCTGAACAACTCTACGAGCTTCCCAAAGGGCCTCTCTTCTAGTCTTGCCAATCCATATCACATACCCTTGAAGAACAAATTGGGTTGTGTTAATTTCCTGCTAAATAAACCTTCATTGGCTCCCCATTGTTCTCAGGCTCAAAAATCTATACATTACCCTGGCTTTGAAGGCACTTAATTTTCCTGGCCCTGCCTGCCTCTAGCCTGATCACCCACCACCCTCCCCTCCCTGCCCCTCTTCCCATTTTACACACCTTCCCTGACTCAGTCTGCTCCTCTGTCCTCTGAGCCTTCACTCTCAGTGTTTCCTGGGCTCAGAGAGCTCCTGCCCTACTGCTCCATGGAGAACTCTTCCTCATCCTCTGGCTGCAGCTTGGTCTCACTCCTCTGGGCAGCCCCTCCTCACGCCTCCTCTCCAGTGTGGTGCTGCCTTTTCACGACCTGGTGTCCTTGCCTACATCTTTCTCCATCCCCTGCATGGGACAGGAGCCTCTGGCAGGCTGCATGTGCCTGGCACCCAGATGAAGATTCAAGTAAGGACAGGAGGGACAGCCAAAACAGTGTCATCGACTGCATCCCGTTAAAAACATACTTTATTTCTGGCTGACATGAAGAATTTTTTTTATTTTTTAAAACTTCATAAATGAATTTAATGTCATATACTATTTGAATATTTAATTTACTCCAATTTCAGATTGAAGAAGAAATAAAGGGGTGTTTGCAGTTTTTGCAGTCTGTTTACTCAGCTTTTGGCTTCTCCTTCCAATTAAACCTGTCCACAAGGCCTGAAAACTTCCTAGGAGAGAGTGAGATGTGGGATGAAGCTGAAAAGGTAAGGAGAAACAATGTGCTTACCCTTCCGTTTTGTTGATTATGGAAAGCACCTGAGAGACTGCTCTTCCCTTGCAGGGGGATGCAATACTTTGTAATAGAAATTTTGAAATTGGAAGTTGTGGAACACATATGCAGATTGTAGAATGCGGTTATCCAGTTTTCTTCGTTATAGTGATAATAATATTACCTTACATTTGCTTCACACTTTAAAGTTCATATTAGGTTTTCATTTGTACTCTCTTTCAGTGCTGGTCATTGATAACTTTTTAAAGAAATCTGGTTTGCAGTAACTCTTGGTTTGTGTGGCTTATTTTAAACCATTGCCTGTTGAGTCATTTAG